TTGTTCATGGTTTAGGACATTTTGGTGGCTAATTGATCTTAGTTGTAATTTGGCAGGGAATACATCCCAGGGGCGTGTTTGCAGCCTTGACAGTGTTAGAACATCTATTGCCCAGTGTGCCAGGGTTTGTGGGTTTTGAAAAACAAAAGGTGTGTTCTTTAATATTATTTTTTTGCTTTTTAAAAAGTGGACTCTTCATTTGACTCATTAGCAAACAGTTCAAAGTCTGATTTTTTTAAAATATTAAAACTACACTTTTTCTTTGAAGATTTGCCATTGGTGTTGTGTTCAAATGGTTTGTTTAGTTGAATATTTGCAAGATCATCATATTCACTTGTATAAGACGTAAGGTAAGGAATATTAACACCACAGCCTCCTCTTATAATTGGGTCTCGGACTCTGGGTTGGCCCAACAACTGATGACTTCATTTTTTAAAATTTCAGGTTACTTCGGGTTCATACTACTTCATGTTTGGGTCAATGTGGGTTCAAGTAGAGAACTATATGTTCATCACCATTATCATTCGGTTTGGGTCGACCCAACGGGTTAAAACTTTGATTTTAAACAAAATTTAAGTTCATATTAACACTTGCATTTTTCTTTAAGTAAAATTAAAATATCAAAAAAAATGTACTATATCTATTATATTATTTTATTTTAAACTATGAAATGATTTTACCTCTTTTATATATATATATATATATATATATATAATGCTCTCTCCCTCTAGATTTCTCCTCGGCTAGGTTTCCGCCGACCGCCACTATGGCGGGCCGGCGACCATCTTCTAGCAATGGCCACCACTCTCCCTCATCCTCAAAGCTTCAACGACATAGCTATCAAGGGCGACTACAAACCAGCGACGAAATACAAAGGCCAACCGGCTATATCCTTCTCAGATGAAGAAATCAACAATTTGTCTGCTAGGTTTGTTCGCACAATCGTGGGTCGATTTACCAAGGGTAGACCATGCCTAATCTCAATCCGTAAGGCCTTTGAACGAATTGCTTTTGAAAAGGAGTTTATTGTAAGTTTGCTAGATGAATCTCACATCTTAATTAATTTCGAATCTGAGAATGACTTTCTGCGATGCTTGCTGGGAAAATACTGGAAGATTAATGGCTTTATTTTGAAAGTGTTCCGTTGGACTCATGATTTTGATCCAAATATTGATTCCCCATTGATTCCAGTTTGGATTAGTCTTGAAGGTCTTCCCATTCATCTTTTTGATTCTCTGGCTTTATATTCCATTGCCAATTTGATTGGTAAACCACTGAAAACTGATGCTGCAACAGCAAGCCTGTCAAGGCCATCTGTTGCACGTATTTGTGTTGAGGTTGATACCAGTGAGGAACTGCCCCATGGTGTCTGGATACATCTTGGACAACTTACTTTTCATCAACCTATCCACTATGAAGATCTCCCTGAAT